AAAAAAAAAAAAAAAAAAAAAAAGCTACACATGGAGCTATCCATAACCAGTTTATCGTTGTCTCGCTTTGTATAATCTTTCTGGACACTTGAGGGTCAGTTTATGCTGGTTATAATAGCTTAACGTGTACCTGCTGCATGAGTGCAGTGGAGAGCAATAATGACCCGTGTTACAGCTAATATGACAGCCGGCAATTATGATAATGTATGTGATATCGCTACCCTAACGATTAGGTTTACCATCCAGCGATAGACTATGATTTATTAATAAATTGAACCCGAGCATATCTTAAAAATACGAGGAACCACTGAGGGACGGGTAGCAGCATTCCCTAAACTTTCGCAAAAGAGTAGAGGTCCGAAGGTTTTAAATTATAAATACTACACGCAAGATATTGACATCTAGATTTTCTATTCCACCTACATAGGATACAATTGGTAAATACTAGGTGACACTGTCAAATTCCTAAATGACACCTCACCACATGCGGTGATATGTGTAGCCTACACTTATCATGCAAATACATAATTATTATTAAAAATTTTATTGGTAGGCAATGACTGCCTCATTGCCCGAGTGGTCGCAAGTGCGACTGCCAGGCTCTCTCGGAGAGTCTCGAGTTCGATTCCTGGGTCGGGCAAAGTATTATAGGGTTTTAAAAAAAATCTCAATGGTAGCACGGAGCCTGGAATCGTGCCCGGTATATGGCGATAGGCTCACCCCCTATTACATGGGACTTGTAACGGTAAAAGTGAAGTGGGTGTTACCTTGCACAGTGGCACTAAGTGCCACAATGTGCACCTCTGCTTACCCCTCCGGGGATAAAAAGGCGTGATGTTATGTTTATTGGTAGGGACACATTGTAGCCCTTTATGGCACAGCCCTAAAAACGACCCAGTGGTCTAGTGACCTATAAGCAAAGTTTTATGTTAATATCGGTAGATTGAGCAGAGGCATGTTGTCCATAATTATACCATCCGATCTCGAGCACGATACGTGTTGAGAGTAACTTAATAGAAACTTAATTGTACTTCATTTATGGCCTCCATCAGTGTTACCATTATCTCGCGGGAAATTCTACCCACGGTGATCCCGGTGTCAGTAACATTTTGTGAAAAGCTTTATCGTGTGTTTATGGCAAAGTAGGTGGTTTTTGATGTGATATAGATTTTTATCGGCTGCCATAATAGTTGCTTAGGTAGATCTCTCTACTTAAGCTACTTTTGAACTAGTATTTATGGTCGGTATCTTTCAGATGTGTTGGTGCCACTTTATCTGAAAGTGCGACCAAGTATTGGTAGCAATGTGATGAAACTTGATACTAAGCTACCGACCTAGGCTTCCTAATATTATTGTTTTTGTTACGGGTGAAGTTTGGAATTTACATGTACGGGTAGGTAGTATCATTTAATTTTTTTATTTCATTATTCATTAAATAATTTGAATTGTACATTCATCTAAGTCATATTACTCAAAAAAAAAACATTTACAAAATACTTAAGTGTGGGAGAGCCATACTTCGTCACGAATGGGCCGGTTCGACCGGAGTGATACCACGGCCTCACAGAAAACCGACGTGAAGCAACGCTTGCGTTGTGTTTCGTCGCCCAATTACCTCCCTCTCTAGTCCCCTTCTTCCGAATCCCCGAATCCTCCACAATCCTCAAATTCCCAATTTCAAAAAGACCGGTAACGCACTTGTAACGCCTTGGTGTTTCGAGTGTCCATGGGCAGCGCTGATTCCTTACCATCAGGTGATCCGTCTACTCGTTTACCGGCTTATGCTATAAAAAAAATACATAAAAGTAAAAGTCACAATTAAAATAAGAATAAAAAGATAAATAATAAAAGAAGTAAAACACATTTAGATTCAAAATCGCTGTACAGCGTATTACCTAAAACGGTCAACACGACAAGCGCCAGAAATAAATAATTATCTTGTGTTGCATTTAAGGTGCTTGTTCGTTTTCGATTTTTAAAATTTAAACGTGTTCATCAACTTTTGACGTCGACCGTACATAAAGTATAACAATGAATTTTATTGTTTACCTGCTTCATTTATACTTAGTTTGCGGGATAATGGGCAAACAATTTAAATAGTTACGCATACACACTCTCAGTTGGAGTAACTACATATATCCATTGACAGTTGTTCATCTAAACGAGCATGACATCCGTCGACAGAGCTGCGATATAATTAACATCAGTAAAGTAAGTACTACTCGGTTCCCAGAAGTGTACACATGTCAGCTCTACGTCCGC